TGTGTGTGTGTGTGTGTGTGTGTGTGTGTGTGTGTGTGTGTACGCACACGCTCTTTCCCAGCACAATGAGGGAAACCAGATTTGCTTAACGACTATGTAGTTGACTTAACGACTGCAGTGATTACCTTAACAAGCGCGGCAAAACAGTTACAACATTGGGCACGACTCTCGTAACAACCACCTTGCTTAGCAAGGGAAATTCTGGTTCCCATTGCTGTCATAAGTCAAGGACTACCTGTCTACTACACAGAAATGCCAAACAGAATTTCATTGCAAAGTCTTCTAACACTGAAGATCAATGTAGAGTAGAGTAGAGTAGAGTAGAGTAGAGTAGAGTAGAGTAGAGTAGAGTAGAGTAGAGTAGAGTAGAGTAGAGTAGAGTAGAATAAATTTGTGGCCCAGTTGAGATAGAAGCTAAAGAAGAGAATGGGTTGCACAGAGAGCACCAAGGATACACAGATAGAGCCTGAGCTACAAGTATTCAATAGAATAGAATAGAATAGAATAGAATAGAATAGAATAGAATAGAATAGAATAGAATAGAATAGAATAGAATAGAATAGAATAGAATAGGAATAATACAATAGAATTAGAATTAGAATTAGAATAATAGAATAAGAGTAAGAGTAAGAGTAAGAATTAGAATAGAATAGAATAGGAATAATATAATAGAATTAGAATTAGAATAATAGAATAGAATAGGAGTAAGAGTAGGAGTAAGAATAGAATAGAATAGAATAGAATAGAATAGAATAGAATAGAATAGAATAGAATAGAATAGAATAGAATAGAATAGAAAAGTTCTTTTTTGGCCTATGTGATTAGACACACAAGGAATTTGCTTCCGGTGCATAAGATCTCAATGTACATACAAACAACAATGTGATAATCCCAAAGGTGCTTTTTCAGGAAGTAACTGGACTTTCTTGTTTTTTCTTTTGAAGATGTTTCGCTTCTCATCCAAGAAGCTTCTTCAGCTCTGATAGGATGGTGGGGAATGGAAGAAGCTGAAGAAGCTTCTTGGATGAGAAGCGAAACGTCTTCAAAGAAAAACCAGAAAGACCAGTTGCCTCCTGAAAAAGCACCTTTCGGACAACCATGACCTGGATGACTGAGAATCTCTACAGACGTTTAACAACGTGATAAATAATAAATCGTAAGATACAATCACAAATCATAAGGTACACACAACAAAGTGATCAATCCTAAGATACCAATAGGAATAGGCAATAGGAAAGATGAGAAGGATAATAGCAATACAGCCCTATTGGTAAAATATAAATAAACTATCTTTAGGCCTAAGCCTGTGTTGTGAGTATTAGGTGTTTAGCAGAGTGATGGCATGAGGGAAAAAACTATCTAGTACTTTTGGCGTGCAATGCCTTATAGCAGCATCCTGAGGGGAGAACTTGAAACAGATTATGTCCAGTTTATGTCTTCAACGGAAAGCAGGCAGTGGTTTTGAGATTTCAAACCTGTAATAAATCCGCATTGATAGGCATTTCTCACAGCTAAATAATGTGACTTCCACTCAAGTGACTTAAATGGAAAATAAAGGGTGGTTTTTCCCAACACGCTGCTTTGTTTGTGTTTGTAACAATGTCTCTCCAGGGTGAGAAATAATTAACTTACCCTTTCCAATGTAATTTCTTCAAATTCATATTCAATCTCTGTGCCGTTGACCTAAAAATGATATAAAGAAAATCTATTAATACCTGTGGGAAACATGTTTTCTGGAGGGTTAACATTGTTTCATGTGTGATTAAGCATTGCATGATATATATATATATTTAAATTAAAAAAATAAGGTCAGTACCACTTTCTCATTCAAATCAGTGTAACATTTTATCCAGGGAATAGCTGATTTTGCAGTTACGTGACAGGAAAACTCTCTCCATGAGAACTGATCTGTCCAAAAATGGTACAAGCACTCCTCGTTTAATGACCATTTGAAGTTACTCTAAAAAGTGACTTATGATCATTATTCACATTTACAACCATTGTAGGATCCTGTGATGACTCGGGGCGTAGCACAAAGGCAATACAGTCAGATAAGCAATAGGAGTCCCTTTATTATCTCCAACTTTGCCCCCAATGTCCAAGTTACCTTCGGCTGGAGAAAAACTCTCCCAGGAACAGCCTTTAAGTGGAGGAAATTCAGTCCAAAACAAGGTACACACAAACTGTAACTTAAAATCCAAACAAACCAAACTGAAGTAATTAGCCTGACAGGGCAGGAGAAGGAATTTCAGACTTGAAAGCACGGCAAAACTCACACAGTTGGGAAAACGCCAGGAACACAGATAAGCCATGACGATACAAGATAAAGTCACATTTGCTCCCAACAGCTTGCTACGTGCAGCTTGCCTTTTTTTATACACTGTGTTCCCAGCTGCAGCTAATGAAGGGAATCAGGCCCTTTCCTCCCCCGTAAGCCATGCAACCCACGTTGCTCCCTTCTCCGTTCCTCCCTGCGTGCCCTAGGATGAAGAGGGGGTGGGCCTGGGTCTTCCTCTGAAATCTCTCTCCCTTGTTCTACCTCTCCCCTGCTCTGGCCAGCCGGACTTTGCCCTTCCCCAATTTCTTCCACAGCCAACGGAGCCACCACTCCCATTCCCTATCACCTGTTCGGCCTCCCCCTCCGAGTCAGATTCTGACATGGGCGTGACACACCCCTAATGATCACATGATCAAAATTCAGATGCTTGGCAACTGACTCATATGGGATCCCCATTTTGCGACCTTCCAAACAGCAAACTTAATTGGGGAAGCCTGACTCACTTTAACAACCATATTACTAACTTAACAACTGCAAGTGATTCACTTAACAACCATGGCAAGGAAGTTCATAAAATGGGACAAAATTTCCCTTAACAACTGTCTCACTTAGCAACAGAAATGTTTGGCTCAGTTGCAGTCATAAATGGAGGACTACCTGTATTTTAAATCCCTTTTCCTAACAATTTCTAGAGGGTTTAGATGAGGCTTCGAACCGGGAAAGGAAGAAGCTGGAACTAAAGATTTAACTAAATTGGACTAAAATATTTTGGGAATAAACAGGCATAAAATAAAGCTGGACTTAAGATTGTCAAAAAATAATAATAATAAAGTTTACAAATTGGAGATTGGACTGTGCTGGAATATTAAGGTTCGAAAAACCCTAAATAAAAAAATAGGGGGAAAAGGTGAAGACTTTGTATAATGGAGAGTGCCACCTTTTGACAAAAACTTGAGCTCAAACAAAAGGGAAAGCATCCTGTTTCTGAATGAACTTGTGTGGATATAACATTAAAGAAATATTGAAACAAAGTAAGAATCTTAGAAAGTGAAAGCAGAACCAGAATAAAGAAAAAAGCAAGGAAAGACTGACTGTGGGATTGATTGATATTTTTGGTATAGACCCTGGGCTGGAATAACTGAGAACTTTAGAAAATTGAAAGAAGAAAGAAGGAAAGTAAAAGTGGTTTTTTTGTGGACTTTAATGATCATAAAATATAAGAGTGTGTAATGATGATCTCTCTTCGGGAATTAAAAATGGAACTTAAAAATATGAGAGAATTACTACAGGAAAGAGGTGAATCACTTTGCTCTGTGTTAGAAAAAATGGAAATGGCGATTGAAGAACAAGAAGAAAGAGCTTCAGAGGAGGAGGAGTCGATTCAAGGAGAAGACATTTTAAATAGACAATTAACACAAAGAATACTACAAAGAAGTGGGGAAAGAAGGAAGGTTAAAAAGTTGAGATTTAAGAAGGGAATTAAAAGGGGGAATACCTGTGAAGTCAGAAAAGGCAGAGAGACCCAGCAGAAAAGGGGAAAGGAAGATATTAAGAAAGAGAGGCATATAAACTGGAATGAGAAAAGATATGGGGAAAAGAGGGGGAGGAGAAGCAGTAAGAAACAGGTGCATGAAATAAAGAAATACGGAAATAGTAAAATGTTGAAAAGATATTTTTTTTTCAGAGATAATGGTTGATGAATTAAAAAGGGGATTCTGCAGAGTGACAAGGGGAAATAAGAATATTTCTGCAATTAAAAATATTTAGAAAATAGGGTAATATACATACTGATAACTCTTATTAAAAATCATATGCTGTGGAATCCAAATGAAAAGATGTAATGATTATTATTGTAACTTCTTAAAAATAATGATTTATTGGGAATCAAGATGAGGAAATAAAGGTATATTTTAATCATTGAGGTGTCACACTCAAAGCAGTAAAAGGGGGAAAACTTATACTTGGTTTTTTTTTTAGTGTTAAAATTTGTATTAATCTAGAATTTATAAAAAGAATGTGTAATGGAAAGGGAATATGACAAAGAACCAACTATATTAATAAGTTAATATAGACTATTAAAAGCAAGGAAAGACATTGGTAACTTATTGTTATTATTATTATTATTATTATTATTATTATTATTATTATTATTATT